AAATGGCCTATGGTGTATGTTTGCTAATTGAGGATCAAAGGTCAAGTTATAGTTAAACAGTTACTTCACACATACGCTACTGTTCAAAGGTTTGGGATCAGTAAGATTTTTTGTTTTTAAATGTCTTTTGTTTACCAATACAGTAAAAACAGTAATGTTGTGAAATATTATTACAATTTAAAATAGCCAACTACTGTTCTGTTTCAATATATTTGAAAATGTAATGTATTCCTGTGATGGCATAGCTGAATTTTCAGCAGTTGTGTTGCTTGATATTTTTTGTGGAAATCGTGATATTTTTTCAGGATTCTTTAATAAATACAAAGTTCAAAAGAACAGCATTTATTTAAAAAATTGTAATATTATAAATGTCTTTAGTTTACTGTCACTTTTGATCAGTTTAATGCATCCTTTCTCAATAAATGTATTAATTTCTTTTAAAAAAAAGTCTTACTGACCCCAAACTATTGAAAGGTAGTATACCTAGCATTTAAAACGCAAGTTTCATACATAATAAATCATTTTTATTTTAACAAATGAGATGCATTACAACCTTTGTAAATTACACTGGTCCTCAACACAGGTTAAAAAAAGTTTAGTTTTTTTCTTCTGCTATATCCATATTAGAAGGAAAGACCAGATCAGATTAATGTCACAAATCAAAGAGATAAAAGTTGGTATTCTGATTGCTCTTACAGATACAAGCATGTCTGTTTCCATGATCTGTTATCACAGTTGAAATGCAAGGCACTTTAAAGTGAGATCTGAATGGTGAACATCCTCAAAAATTAAGGCAAACACCCACTGATGCACACTACATAAGAAGTGTGCTCTCTCTGCTTGTGTTTACAGTTAGACTTCTAGCAGCTTGATTAAAAAGAATTTGTGACTGTTAGTTTCTCTGCGTGTCATCAGGACATTTGCATCTTGGGATCTTGCGACAGGCCTTTCATCACTGGCCAGGATACTCAAAAACTGCAGCCGCTCCCATTCCAGTCCCAATGCACATGGACACCACACCATACCCTCTGCAACAAAAAACACAACACTGTAAATAGGAAAAGGGATCTTAATGTTTTTTTATTGCTAAATTTAAAGCCTGTATAGTTAGGCTTGCAGTAATGTATTAGGTTCGTGTAATTTCAGCAATGCGGAAAAAAGAATGGAATCATAAAATCTAGTGATAAAAATGGAATTTACTGTATAACGGAATGCAGAAAAATTCTAATGGAATTCAAAATTTGGGGGAAATAACAGCTTTCATTGGACCCTTCTGTATGATATTATCATATGATTATATATGTTCACCTCTTGCGTCTGCGTTTGAGCTCATTGAGCAAAGTCACGACCTGTCGAGCACCAGTGCAGCCCAGTGGGTGACCAAGAGCAATGGCTCCTCCATTAGGATTCACTTTCTCCATAGGAATGCCCAGTTTTTCCACACAATACACAGCCTAGGAATATTGTGAAAGTCGCTGTTATGAATAACAGGAAAGTACTGAAAAAAAACGGGGGGAAATCCAAGAAAATCTATCAGTCACCTGACTGGCGAATGCTTCGTTGATCTCAAACACATCAATATCATCCACGGTCAGCCCTGCACAAGCAAATGCAATAACACGGCTCATTTACAACCATTATTTTGGAATAATGAAAATGGAAAATCTATTTTAATACATTTTTAAGCACGATTACTACTTGAATATAAATGGCTCATATGAACATAGAGGTACAGTGAGAGCAGCTGTACTCTCACCCGCCTGGTTGAGGGCTTGTGGGATGGCATAGGCTGGGCCAATGCCCATTACGTCCGGTGGAACACCCACCACAGCGCTCGCCCTCAGCACCCCAAAAACAGGAAGTCCCAGTTTCTCCACTGTAGATCTCCGCCCAATTAGCACTGCTGCTGCGCCATCACTCACCTGACTGGCATTACCTGCAATGGGAATGAAAGATTTGAGTTATGGAATTTAAAGTCCAAATTACGTTTTCAAAAATTCGACATATGCACACCAGCTGTGGTGCTGCCGGTTTCTTTGAACGCTGGTCGCAGTTTGGCCAGGCCTTCAAAGGTAGTCCCAGGGCGGATCCCATCATCCTTTGTGACAGTAATAGTGCGCTCAGTGCCGTTTTCATCCACAAATTTAGTAGTGACCGGTGTGATTTCTTGCTCAAACAAGCCCTTTTTCTGTGCCATGGCTGCCCTAGTGTTATAAAAGTCCACAAATAATTAGTACTTTGAGTTGTTTTGAGTGCATTTTTGCTAAATACCAACAACTAGAATGTATAAACTATCCATAAATGTCATGGCAGCACCTACTTTTGTTGGGAACTGAGAGCAAAGCGGTCCTGTGCTTCCCTAGTGATGCCAAATCTCTCAGCAACATTCTCTGAGGTTATTCTGAAAGAAAATAGAGAAAAACAATGTAATGTAAAGATTAAAACAGAGTATAAAAGAAATAACATGCATACCCCATGGGAATGATACAGTCTCTGGTTTTCTCATTGTCCATCAGTTGGGGGCTGAGGTCTCCAGGGTTATCCGGTGAACGAAGGGACATGCTCTCCACACTGACAAGAGAAAACAAGGAAAAATAAATTAGGTATAAGATAGGGCTGCACGATAAATCGCATGCGATATTTAACACGCATCTTCAGATTCTAATGCTACACTTTATCTTTCACATCCATTACTGAATTTAACAATTACAAATGTAGCATACTAACCCACAGGCAAGTCCCATGTCATATGAACCTCCTCTGATTCCTCCTTAAAACACAGAAAAAACCCCCTCTTTAAACTACAATACTGTATTTTATTATGGTGCGGCCCAAACAGGTCATTTTACAGGTTAACATGTAATTCTTACCTGCAATATTAAAAAGTGCTTGTAGTCCAGAAGAGCACTGCCTGTTTACAGTGTAGACGGGTACAGACTCAGGAAAACCACTGAAAGATAAAGAAAGTCTTGAATTTGCAGCCAATTCAAATGTTTAGCAATATCTTGATTTATTATTCATTTACTCATTTTACCTAAAAAAAATGTGCAACTCGAGCCATCAGTGCACCTGCACCGGGTTGTAGTACATTACCTGAAAAATAGCATTAAGTGTATATTAATGTTAAAGCCAAAAAATGAAAATTCACTGAAAATTTACTCACCCTCAGGCCTTTCAAGATGAAGATTAGTTTGTTTCTTCATCAAAACAGATTTGGAGAAATTTAGCATTACATCACTTGCTCACCAATAGATCCTCTGCAGTGAATGGGTGCCGTCAGGAGTCCAAACAGCTGATAAAAACATCAGAATAATCTACAAGTAATCCACACGATTCCAATCCATCAATTAACTTCTGAAACGTATTTGTTTATTTGCAGTTGCATTTTAACTTTAAACCATTGCTGAACACATTGATGCATTTGTTTATCACAAACACAGCTTTTTGCTTTACAAGATGTTAATTGAGGGACTGGAGTTGTGTGGATTACTTTTGGACTATTGTGATTCTGACGGCACCCATTCACTGCAGAAGATCCACTGGTAATGTTGAATTTCTCCAAATCTGTTCTGATGAAGAAACTCATCTACATCTTGGATGGCCTGAGGCTGAGTAATTTTTCAGCTAATTTTCATTTTTGGGTGAACTATTCCTTGAATCACTCTTCCTATATGATTGTCATTCATATTTTTGTGTTTAGTGTATCTTATAATGTTTTGTTCAGGCTAGCGGTCATCTGACTTACCAACACACACATCCCCTAATAAAGAGGGTCTCAGTCCCACATCCTTCAGGACTGCACTCATCACAGCACTAAGGAGCTCGTCTGGGGTTGTGTCCTAAAATAACACAGACAGACTTTAATACAGAATGATGTGAATGTCGCTGTCAAGCAGTCACATTGACCGATGTCCCACCTTAAAGGATCCTCTCTTCGCTCGGCCGATGGCTGTTCGTAGTCCATGAACCACAACGATATCATTTGGATCAGCAGCTGAAGCGCTGCACTGCCTCATTCCCACACGACTGTTTGACGACAGATGTCCCGACAAAATCTGCACTCTGTGCATTTTTTGTCAAAAATGTGGGCACGAAAAAATAAAAGGATAACCGTTTATTGAGACATACACAGATGGTTAACAGGGACTAATGTATGAACTATGCTCTACATTTCTGATGATGTTTCCTGGTGAACCTTGCTTCTCTGGTCAGACTGGATATCATTGGCTAGTACGTTCTGACGTCTTCGTATGGAATTATGGGGAATGAAGTACAAATCTGAAGTAATTTGTTGAGTTTTTCTACGCAAGAACTAATTTTAAAATAACACTAAATCCAAAAGACATTAAAGAAATTATATTTTATTACGAGCATTAGAAGCATTCTTGGCAGCTTTGTAAACTTTATAAGTCTGAATTCTTTATAATTCTTGCACATTCTTTATTCATAAATGCTGAACGTCCGAAACTCGTCCTTTGCATAATGCTTTCTATAACTTGCTTTAAAATTATATAAAAAAAATTATGTATAAATATTAAAATGTAAAATATTATCGATTTGACATCTTGTAGTTATTATGTATTGATTGATTGATTTATTTAAATTAATATCTTACTACAGTTACTGACTTTGGTGCACGTCTATGCAATCAAAAATGTAAGCAGTTCCAGATTTGTAAGCTACAATTGAAACCCACTGTAGCGTGTTTTTATTTTTCGTCTATTTAATTTTGATATTTATAATACATAACCGCTAAAACACAAATTAGTCTGTAGACTGTAGGCATATTTCGCAAATTGTTTGACATGTCTAAATAGAATTAAAAAATAATAGGTTATTTGATACATTTTTATAAATATCCACTTAAAATAAATAATTAAAAAGAAAGCTTTAAAAAATATTAATAAAACACTAATTTACCCTAATAATGAATTGCCCTATTCGTAAAATGTAGCCTTTTTAAAATTCGCTAAACATTTGCAGTGCGCTGTTGGTCACAGTCGGCCGAGGGCGCCAGAATCGCGCGCAGCCCGAGCGTCGGTAGACCCCGCGGCGCGTCATCGCTTCCTGAGACTGACATTACTCTCACTCACTCGCTCCTCTGTGGAAAAACTCGGCGTCAGTCAGTGTTTGCGGAGAGGAAACTTTCTTCCTTTGACGGCGCGCAGTCGACGAGATTTGCAGCTTTCCCAAGCACACACCGCTCCATCTGTTTGGATTACTGGCATCCGCGACTCCAAAAACATAATCCGCAAAGCTTTTCGGAAGGTGGATTTGTGCGTGACAACTGTATTCAAGTGCGCGCGGTTTCCGGAAATATCCTCGTTTTGCTGTATCTCGCACAAGAGCACAGTTTGCGGATTTTTCTTCTTTACGGCGTTCAACCCCGTGAACTCGCTTTAAATCTCACATTGGTTTAATTCGTCTTAAATGTCAGCACCAGCATGAAGATACGCACATAAGGTGAGTTCTATCTAGAATGATAATGAATGCACTTCTATTTAGGGTAGTGAGCAAAGATTTGCTATAGAGGGTAAAATTGTCATTGTTTTTGTTACACATAATGCAAAAATCGTCATTATTTTTGTTACACATAATGCATTAGACAACAAAAGAGTATCAGGTCACCGCTATTGAAGACAAACATATTCTAAGTTCATGTTGTGTTTTGTCTTGGCAGAACTTGACACTTGAACATCTAGATATAGGCTGCATGTACAGTAAAACATATGTCAACAAAGTATGCTTATGCATAGCAGTTGAAATTGTACATAACATTTGCAAATGTGACATTGGCTGAACCTACACTTGGATATGTAACACTGTATCTCATTTTAATGTGTATAAATATGTATAAAACTCTTTAAAATATTTGATGTCTTTAGTATATCATAGGTCACTGAATGAAACGGGTGTCTTTTCCATGAAATTTCTATAAGATTTTAAACATTCTATCAGATAAATGTTGTTTTTAAAGTGGTAATAAGTTGCATTGTTCCATCTTAAGCTAAATGAAAACTTAATATAGCTACGAGTCTTTTAAAAAGTAACAGGGTTGAAATTTTACAGTAAATTTAGCTACAATGTTTATTAGAAAGAATTTATTGCTAATATTTCTACAAATATCCATTCTCAATAATCATTTGTTTACTGTACAAAATTGTGGTAACAGGGCCGAGTGATTAATATCGCTCTTTATTGACAAACTATAATCAAACAAAATAAAAGATAAAGTGTCTTTGATGTCCTTGAAAAGCAGCATGCATAAAGATTTTTCTGATTTATAGAGTTGTATTGTTTATATTGTACATTGCACAAATTCTGATGTTAACAGGGTTGACCTGAATGCACAAAATTATGTTAACAGGGTTGACTGCTTGTGATCGCTTCTTACTCACAAACTTAAAATAAAAGATTAAGTGATTTTTAAAAAGACACATCCTTGAAGAGCATAAAAAGTGATATTTTTATCATTTTAAGGAGGAATTTGGAACGTTAACAGGGTTGAGTACACAACATTTTTTTAAAATTAAATTTTATGTCCAGTAAAGCCTAGAATTATTTATAGGGTGAATATATATTAAATATATTTAAAAATAAATTAAATATTCTTTACAGTAGGAAAAAAAATATTATTTTAAGAACTATTCACTGAAAAGTTATTTTGGAAACCAAACATGGTTCTTCTATGGGATCACTGTGAAAACCCCCTTTTTGGATCCTCTATTTTTAAGAGTGAATGTTAAAGGTTCTTCATGGATCCGTAGATGCCAATAAAGAAACTTTATTTTTAAAAGTGCATGATATTCTGGTCCTATATGACTGAGGTCTTATAAAATTAAAAGCGCTCCTCTCCTTAACAAGCCACTCGATTTGAGATATTAGCTCAAACAATGATGGATGATGAATTTCTCAAAGCACAAACTAGGGCTGCACGATTAATCGAATGCGATTGTCATGCGCAATTTGTTAGTAATGCCGGTTCTGTAATCAGCAGGAAATCATCATCAGCTGCTTTCAGATGGAGCAGAATTTA